CAGTAGAAAAAAAGGAGGCGACGGTGGTGTGCGGTCAAAGCGGGGTGTCTCTCTCTCTCTCTGTGGGGAGAGTGAAGGAGGAAGGCGGGCAACGGGAAAAGTTAGGGGAAGGGGTGGGTGGGGGAGCAGAGGGGGGCGGCTCCGCGAGGAAAGCGAGACCGCACAAACTTTGATGCGACAAGTCAGCCTATTAGAGAGCGAGAAGCGACAAAAAAAAAAACGGGAAAAAGAAAAGGCAAGCAAACGCCGTGGGGAACCAGGTATTAAACTAAAAGAAGGGAATCGCGGGGGTGGGGGGTGAGACGCTATGAGGTTGTGTCACTGGCATCGCCATCGCTCCGTTCACACAGCACATGCGCCCCCCTCTTCCCCCCCCTTCTCGCGCATCTGCGTCTTGGTACGGGAGGGAGAAGAAAAGAAGAAAGTAAAAAAAAAAAAAAACAGAGACCCCTATGAAAAATGCACTGGGTGACGTGCCTGTGTCGTGTGTGTGCGCGACTGTCTTTTGTTGCATTTTGTTTTTGTTTTTTGTTTTTATTTTTGACCCCCTTTTCCCCCCCCGTTGCGCGTGCACACGCCCGCATGCTGCGCGTAGCGGGGAGTTCCTGCGTGGGGCACGGTGGCGACATCGGTGTACTTTTTTTCCCCTCTGCCTATTTACTTTTGACGGCCCCGCTGCCGCACAGCTTCGCCCTTTTTGTTTGTTTTTGTTTTTCTTATTTCTCGCTTTTTTTTAAAAAATTATTTTGCACCGCCTCTTTACCTTGACGGACCTGTTTTTCCGCTCCCTTTCCCCACTTTTTTGTTTTTCTCCTTCTTCTTTTGCCTGTAGCAGCTCACGCGTGTGTGTGTGCCCTCCGAGTGGGGGGCTGTGGTGGCTGTGGCGGTGCGTGTGTGGGATTTGGGCGAACTGCTCACCCGTGTACTTCCGCACCCACGCATGTGCCCGTGCACCGTTTGTTTCTGCTGCGGCAGCAACCGTTTTGTTTTGTTCTTTTGTTGTCGTTGGTTTTGCGTCGCTCCCCGTGACTCCTCCCGGCGGCGTCGGGTGCCGTCGGAGGGAGGCAGGGGCTTTACGCACGTTGCGTGGCTCTCTCGCTGCCTGTCTGTGTCGGGGGAAGTGCGGGCGGCGGTGGGTTGGACACGCACGTAGCGCGCGGCGCAAAGGCCGGGGGTGGGAGGTGGGTGCGTCGCACCGACGCACGTGTCGAACGGGAGAGGCAAGCAAAAACGGAGGAGGGGGGAAAAAAGAGGGAAACAAAAAGAAAACTAAAATAACTCAGGGAATGAAGGAAGAGCCGTTGGGCCGCGTGCCTGTGCGCAGGGCTGGGTGCATTGGGGACGCAACACACAGCCCGCGTCTTCTTGTACTGCTTCCAATTTACTTTCTTCCCTCCCTCTCTCCCTCTGTGTGTGTATGTGCGTGTTTTTTTTGTTTTTGTTTTTATCTTTAAATGCCTGTGTACATATGTATGTATGTATTTATATATGTTCATGCATACATATGTATCTGTATCAACCTTTCTATGCATATATATATATATATATATATATATATATACATATATACATGTATGTATATGTACGTACGTAGATAAATCAATATCAACGTAGCCGATCCTCCCCTCTTTGTTCTCTTTCTACTGGTGTATGTGACGTGGTCGCTGCCTCCGTTGCCACAGTTTCTGCAGGTGGGGGGAAAAAAAGGAACACAAAACGGGAACGTTTTTTGTTTGTTTGTTTGTTTGTTTTTTTCTTTTTTTTTTGTTTTTGTGTGTGTGGCGCCTTCCTTCCCGCTTTCTCCACCTTTGTTCTTCTGCATCTGAAGCAAGGGCTGCTGGTTCTCTTCAGTTATCTCTTCTACGCCTCACACCCGCGGGCTGTGGAGGAGGATGAATCAGGTTAAGGAAATCGCGTCTTTTTCTTTTTTGCATATTTTTCCCCTTCTTTTTTCTCCTCTTTTTTCCGTACATGCGGCGTTCTTTCAGAAGCCGCCGGGGAGGGGCGGAGAAGGAAACAAGGCAGTCAAAAATGAGGTGGAGGAGGGAGCTCCGGTGAGATGGCGACGAAGATAACACACAGCCACGATGGAGGGCACCGTGGCGGGCACTGTTTGTATTCGCCTCTGTCTGTGTATCTCTGTGTGTGTGGTGGTGGGAGAGGAAAATACTGCGAAGACACATTCACAGCGCGCGCGTCCCCTGGTCTCTTCCATATTCTTCTTCTTTCTTCCTCCCTCCTCTCCCTCTCGCTTTGAGCATAAATAAGGCATATTCGTGCATGCATGCGTGTGGTATGTGTGGGTGTTGGGGGTGGGTGTCTGCTTTTTCGTCCCTCACTTCTCCCTGTCGCCATGCATTATAAAAGGTTGATATCATTCATCATCTTTCTTGTGCGGAGTCTTCTCACTGAGGTTGATGTTTGTTTTTCTCGGCGCCATTTATTTATTTATTTATCTCTTTTTATTTTGTGTTATTGTTGTTGTTGTTGTTTTTTTTTTTCTTGGCCGTAATGGGCACTGTTATTTTCTCGGCTTTCCTGCGTCGTTTGAATTCGAGCGCGTGGCGCGTGCATGGGGCTGTCCCCGTCCCTTCGCTCTCTTGCCATCCGTCACCGCATCCTCATCTCTGCGTTGGCGGGGGGGGGGAGGGCGCGGCCCACACGAATGGCAACGCGCGCGCGGCACTGACGCCGCACCTTGGTGGTCGAGAGTGTCTTGTGTGGGTGCAAAGAAACGGACAGGAGTAGGCAGAGAGTGAGGGGGAGAATAGGAATGGTGCGAAGAGGCCACCGCACACGCAGCGGCCCGAGAGGGTGCCATGTTTGACGCAGTCTCGTACTTTTTCCCGCCGTTACCTGCTCAGGAAGAGAGCGAGGGGAGAGGGAGGGGGAAAGGAACAAAACGAAAAAAAAATGAATAATAAAACAAAACAAATAACACCTTAACATAACGAAAGAGACGAAACACAAACGATGGGGGGCCCTGCTGCGGGCGTGAGAGGGTGTTGGCTGGTTGGCTGATATCTTTGATTGATTTCTTTCCGGCAGGCTATTGTGTCGTTTCTTTCCAATTTTGTGTGGGCGGAGCGTGGAGTGCGAAGGCGCCAGCTGAGGCGTGCGTGTGTTTTTGCTCTCTCTCTTTGTTCTCTCTCTCTCTCTTTGTTGCGTTTGTGTTGGGTGGAGTAGGGGTTTAGTTTTTTTTTTTTTTTTTTGTTGTTCTTGTTGGTCGGTCACCCTAAGTGGAGCCAGGAGCGCAGGGACAGCTACAAGGACC